GCAGCCCCTCCCGGCCGCCCGGACCTCCGGCGCCCCGGCGGAGTCTCAGCGAGGGCCCGACGGGCGGCACCTGCGAGGGGGCCGAGGCCCCGCGGCCGCGGCTGGGGGCTCGGGCTTTAGGGTTTCTGGGGTTAAGGGTTCACCTGCTTCCAGGAGGCTGGGGTGTGGGAATAAGCCTATTTCTATGGAGAGTGGATTCTGTCTACACCCAGCCCAGCCTCTGTTAGGCACCAGACTTCTCAGTGTTGGGGTAGACATAAACGGGCAAACAAAACATACAATGTGATGGGGCCAGCACGCTTCAGAGTTCACAAATTTGACCATAGGTTGAATTTTCCTATTTAAAATTGCCTAAGAGTTGTCTTCAAGGAACAGCACGGCGAATTAACCACAGGGTCAGGAGAGTTTACACACGGCCTGCGTGCGCGCTCCCTTCCTCTGTGGAATTGCACAAGACCCAGATGATCTTGTGGCGTCTAGAAGAAAATCTGGAAGGGTGTTGCTATTCGTGATAGGCAGAATACACTCTATACACGTGAGAAAATGAAATGACCATATCCAAAGGTAGTACAGGGAAGTCGGTTCTATTTATTTACAAAAGCTGACTCAGAAGACCAGACATTCTCGCTAAACTGATCAGTTGTAGAACTTCACTACGTTAGCGTGGGATAAACGAACCATGGGGTATCGGGGTACTCAAACTCCTAAGAGTCCATCCCATAAAACTTTTCAATGTTAATTAGAAGGAAGAAGATATTGAGAAGCTTACATGAAGGGGTGGGATTCTTTTCTTTGTCTTCGAATCTACAGGTGTTGGTGGAGAAGAAATTCTGTCCTTGAAATTTAGACTCCATAAATTATCTGTGGCTCAACAAAGAATTTCATAGACTGAATCTCGGGCTCCTGGAATTTTCCAGATAGATTTTCAAAGAAAATTTGTAAAAGTTAAAATAACTTTTAGAGTATTTGTAACAGGTACCTATGGCTTGTGGTTATCAAGGATTCTTAAACAGTTTGTTATGCACTTTGAGTGCTCTAGGTTAAAATTTGCCTCTTTTATTCTGTTTTTCTCACAGCAATCTCTGTAACTGTATGCTTTAGGTGAACAAATCACTGTCTTTAAACCCTGCAGGGTGAATTAAAGGTTAAGATTGAAGCTTCTTTTTTTTTTTTTAACCTTAACAAAAGGATGGTAAGTATGAAATACTTTTCTGTATACCTTTTCCCTTATTATAATAATGTACAAATATTACACACTTGTTATAAAAAAATTGAAACATTACATATGAAGTCCCTTGTAATTCTAAACCCTAAAAATCACAAACAATTTAGCCTATGACCATAACACAATCATTATCATTTTACTGAAAACCTTCCATATAACAAGTATCACATTGCCTAGAAGCCATGATAGTACGTCTACTATATGGTTTAGTTTGGCTTGTTTGTTTACTTATGAGTTGGAGTCTCATTCTATCACCCAGGCTGGAGTGCAGTGGCATGCTCACAGCTCACCACATCCTCCATCTCCTGGTCTCAGGTGATCCTTCTGCCTCAGCCTCCCAAGTAGCTGGGACTATGTGCCCAGCTTATTTTTTTATTTTTTGTAAAGACAAGGTCTCACCGTGTTGCCTAGGCTGGTTTAAAACTGCTGGGCTCAGGCAGTCCTCTCACCGTGGCCTTCCAAAATTCTGGGATTACAGGCATGAGCCACCACACCTGACTTAGTTTGATTTTTGCTTTTTTTTTTTCCTGCAATGTAAGATTGAAATGCAGGAAATTTTAAGAAGAAATGAACTTATGGTCATTTTGTTGTCCATAGTTGGTATATTCAGTGAGTTAAAGATGCATGGTTAATGTGTCTGGGATTTGCTCACTGCTGTCTTTTTAGTCACTGGTGACATCTGTAAGCCAGGAGTCCCTTTAAACGTTTGGCTTGGCTTTCCATGTTCCTTTCTCCTGCGCTCTAACTTTCTGAAAGCCTGAGCCCCAGGGGACTTCCCAGGAGGTAAGTAAACTGCCCCCCCCCCATCTTCACCAACTTCCCAAAGCTTTTCGGAAATTAGAAATAAAAATTTAAGCCTCATCATACTCAGTGATTATCACAGAAACAGATAAATAAGTTCCACATGTTCTCACTCATAAGCGAACCTTGAATGATTATAATACTATAAGAAAGGGATTGGCAGTAGTGGGAAACTGCCAGGGGAGGGGGGTGTGGGATTCGCAGTAGTTGGAAACTGCCAGGGAAGGGGGGGGTACACCTCATCAACAAGGGTAGCTGCATAATGAACAGTTGTATACCTTACCCTGAATTGTACCCCACATCTTAAAAAAAAAAAATGTAAGCCTTAGATCTAGCAGGATGTGGCTCCACATATTATATTTCAGTCTTAATTTTTTAATGTGGAAAAGTAGTTCAGGAAAATTTCAGGTTAATGAGTCAAGACATTATGCCCTTTAGATACAGGATTTGTTCTTAAGAAACAGTACAGTAACGAGTTATGACTTATTTCAGACTATCCATTCATATTCAGGTCGTGTATTGGTTATTTTGACAGCCAGGATTTGAGTATAATCATAATGTGGTGTTACATATATTATAAGTTCTAACATCTTCTGGGTGCATTTAAAAATCTGGAAATTGAAAAAAATACAAAAAAGTAATAATCACCCTGAACACATCTACATGCTAGTAAGAAAATAATTACTAACAACTATTAAGAACAGTTTGGTCTATAAAACTGCTGCTCAAATAAACAATTATTCTTGATAGTAGCAAAGACCTGGGAAAATGACTTTTTTTTTTTCAAATTCCTAGGTTAACAGGCAATATGACTAGCTGCAGTTTTTCAGACTCATTATTAAAGAAAGTTTCACTTTTAGGAATTTTAACTCCAAACATTCTAAGACTTCAAGTTACTGACCTTTTCATCCCTACCAAGAAACCTCAGAGTGGACTTGCCAGCTATCCTACAGGAAATTGAGTCACCACACCAAACAACACACCTAAATGTCGACAGCTAGCAGGACAAAAACAGTGAGCCAGTTTAATTTGGCTTTTACCAAGAACACATACTGCATTCATTAATAAAATACTCCCCCCCACTCCTCCAGAGAATAGTATACACTGTAGCTTTCCTTAAAAATATATGAAAACTCTATTTAACTGTCCAAAATCTTGCTAAATGAAAGAATTAAAGAGAGAAAAACACCCAAGCGAAAACGATTGACTAAATTCCCTAAAGGTTAGGAGAGGGCTATGGAACAGCCACTGAGTAACAACTTGAGCCTGGAAGTCCCCTCCTACATTGCATCGTTCTCTTTAAGGCACCCTTGAACTATGTAACAGCCGTGTTCTGCTCCGGCTCTTCTGTGAACAAACAGTCCTCAATTCTTGCGGGCCAGCACTTGGCTTCCGTCATAGTGATGCGCTCAAGGGATCCCCTGACACGTGGCCTGAAACTGTGCCAGGGGCTCCAGGAGAAGATGCTGAAGCAGCAGCTGCCCTTTGAAAGGGGGAAAAAGTAATCACCTCAGAGCCACAGCAGTTAGCTGGAGGTTGAGGTCGTTTTCTTGTGAAACGTTCAGCCCATTAATCTCACCCACAACTTTCAGTGATGCTGACCATTGAGGTAAAAGGATCCACTCTATGGGAGGTGTAACTGTGTGGATGTTGGTTTCTTTGCCTACACTTAAAGGTCGGCTAAAGGTCTGTATAAGTTTGTCATAATTCCTAGACAGACCTACTGGTATACATGAAGAGAACAAGTCCAAAAAAATCACTTACTTTGGATACCATTTGCTTGCCCTTATTTTTAAAGATCATACAAATTGTAACAGCTGATTCAGACTTTTTTAAACAATTAAAATACTGTATTAAGTAGCTCCTAAGAGTAAGTACTTAAATATATGTCTTCCTAACCAATTCCAGTTTCTTCTATTCTAATTCCTCCCAGATTCCTTCTGGTTCTAAGAAAGGAGTTGATAATGTCTGAAGATAAGGTAGAACTGGAGAGGATTTCTATTTCACCATGTATTGCTTTGAGCTGGTCAGTTCCTGAGTTTGCTACGGTATAGATTTGTGCAGGTTAGCTGTAACTTTTGCTGACTTAAG